CCACTCCACAGGAGAAAGATGACGCTTTCTGCTCCTGTAAAGATTTACAGCCTCAGAAACCCTATACAGGGTTGCTATAAATTGAAACTGACTTGGCAGCACACAACACCAACATTTATCATTTTCATTTATTTAAAAAAAAAGAAAAAAAATCTGTAAATACTCTCAGCTTTTGTGTTGCTTTTATCCCCAATGTATCTAAGAGCAAAGAGAGTTAGAAAAATGCTTAGGGTAACTACAAAAAAAAATTTTTTTTTCAAACTTTTCTTCTAGGTTGACTATCTCTACCTGAAAGTGAGAACCAAATACTGATGAGTAAATTTATTTTCTCTCTTGAATACACTGATCCCTTGTTGCTGTAGTGTTAGTTTTATTACCTTTGTAAATATGGGCAGAAGTCTTGCACATGGTTTAAAGAACTTTGTAGGAGACATGCATACATGCATTATTGTGGCTGTCAGTGGTAGAATGCTCACCTTCCTTTTAAGAGGCCCTGTCAAGTCACCTCATGTGCAACTATCACCCACTTATTAGTGGATGCTTGTGTATTATTATGATGCTGAACAGGTCCCAGTAGAAACTAAGATAGATTCGGAAGAAACCCTGATCTACTTCTAAAATGCAGACAATGAAAATTTTATGGATCTCAATGATTCCATCCATAACCAATCATGGGAGTAACGCAAGACCAGACAGCATTTTCTTCTTTTGTGCATGGGATCACCATAAATCTGCCATGAGTTGGGGCTGATTCAATAGCAGCTAATAACAACAACAATTAATAAATCAACCTATCATTTTATAAACATGCTGAAGCATGTGTATACTCTCACTTGTCCCAGAAGCACAATAAAGCCAAACCAACTGCCCTCAAAGTACAAACATTTACAAAATAAAAGAAAAATTGACAATATGCATTAAGATTTGATTCATAAATATTTGTTTCTATAGAAAGAAAAGGAAGGCAAACCCATTTCAAATTTCAGAGGAAGAGAGTTCAGTGGTGCTTAAGTCACACTAACCATATTCTTTTTGTTGAAATGGAGATTTCTATATTAGGCCATCTAGAGGAGACAATGAACTGTGTCACTACCCCCTTGGAGAGAAGGAACACACCCTCCAACTCTGGCCTTGTCCTTACATGTGTCAAGGAACGTAAAAATGTCCCTGCATATCTTATCTTCAATTTGTAATCTTCAGAATGTGAAAGTAGAGAGTGTGTCATAAGTAGGCATTGCCTGGGCTTTAGTTGAGAATGTTACGGTCATTTCACATTTAGTTACCCAACATATGTTTGATGGTCAGAAAAAAGAAAAATGCAAAAGCATGTTGAGCGTTTTCTTTATGTGCCAAATAATGGTTTACTTCCCTACCATATAAATCATTGGGAGCAGCACAATAGGTATCATCCAGAAAGGTATCGGTCATAAATATCAGTATGATCTACTGGCTACAAAGAAGCTGTCAATTTATCCTGTAAAGAATCAGTTGAAAACTTCCTGCCTTGTCCATCTTGTTGGTTTCATTATTTGCCACAATGGAGCAGTTTTTCTGTTTTTCAGCTTTTACTAGTTCCTTTGTGGTGTCCAGAAAAACCCTGCAAATGTGTAGCAAGAGAGGGGTACAAAGATGACCTTATATGTAGTTTAGACTTTGGGGTGAGTTCATTCAGACTCTTCTCTGGGAGGGCTGCCAGTGTATCATGAACAAAAACTGTGTTACTTGGAGGTATTCTTTCTGGCAGGATTATTGCGTAGATACTTATGAAAGTTTCTTTATCTTTGCTAAGACTCCCTTGCCTGCTCCCCAAGGGCCTAGATTCCCCACTTTCTCTTGAAAATCCTTCATTCCCCACTGAGTGATGTTTAGAATGCAGATCTATGGGAAAAAGATATTCTATGTAAGTGCTGTCTAGTCGGTTTCAACTCATATTTATCCTGGTGAGTTTGAGCCACAAACCTTGTGGTTACCAGCCCCAGTGCTTATTCTTCAGTGCTACAGCAGGGCTCTTATTGAGTGCTTACTATTTGTCAAATATTGTACCAAGACATCTACTCAAAAAGGCATTGTAATACATTAAAGTGTGTTCTCCCAAGATACATATTGTAAATTCTACCATACCTGAGATTATAAATTCATTTGGGAATAGAATTTCCTTTGCTGTATCAATGAAATAATATTAGTATAGTGTGTATCTTGAATCAATGTCTCTTGAGATATGAAAGAGAGTAAACAGACAAATGAACAAGTAGAGACTGGGGAAAATAGATGCTTTACTACATGAAAATCACCAAGGAGCTGAAAATAGAAGTTGAAGAGAACTTATCCCAGAACTGACATTGAGAGAAAGCCTTCCCTTATAGACAGCATCCAGATTTTGAGCTTGTAGTATTTCTGTTAGTTATAGTGGCGCTATATAACTAAGACAGATGTTATCTTTCTCGTTTGTCAGATGAGAAAACTGAGCCTCAAAAATGTGCATTTGCATAAAATGATACCAATTCACTGAGGGGTGGCCCTGCCCAGAAGGAAGAGGAGGGAAAGGTTTTAACTGTCTGTTGGAGAGGAAGAGAGGAGCTAAGAAGGATTTGGTTGAGAAAGTTGTCTGGTTTGTGGGCCCTGGAATGAAGGCCCAGGTCCTATCATAGAACTCCAAACACAAGGCAGAAACCACCTATTGTTCTTGGAGGTTTATGAACTGATCTGTCAAGGTGTCTTATTCTTAATGGATTCCACTGCCTCTATGTGGGTTTCATTGTCTGTCTTCCATCAGAAGACAAAGAGGGCAATGTAGTATGTCAAAATTTCCTCTGCATTTCTATCTTTAAAATGAGTAGAAGCATGTTAGCAGTAACAATGATAGAATACCTGAAGTGCACATGCAAAAAGGTTGACAGCAGATAGGAAGTGAGCCTCAGGCACATCTCTTGGCACTCAGAATTTCATCTTTCAGCTAGGTCTCCTATACTCTATGATCAGGGTGACTACAACACAGAAGAAAGAGTAAATTATTTTAATTTAACCAGACTAGACTCTTTTTGGACATGGTCTGAAACTTCCTTCAGCATTTACTTGTAGTCAGGTCCAGTGCTATCTCCTATAAAAATTCCATCATAACACTTCTAACCCTATAATACAATTGTGTGTTTGCTTATAGACTGCAGGCTCCTTGAGAAGTTGTCAAACTCTGTTTTTTGCAGTATTCTTTTTTTTTAAATGTTTTATTGTGAATTATGTGATAGTCTCGCAGTATTCTTGGTATTTGTGTGTGTGGCACCTGAAGCTGGGAAGATGTTATTGGTTGAACATGATGAAAGCAGCTATTGGCACAATGAATAGAATGAGAAACACTTTGTGGGAAATGAGAAAAAGATGGTGTCTGGTTGTGTTAGTATACTTGTGCTAGTTGTTGTTGTTGTTGTTAAGTACCATGAAGTCGGTTCCGGCTCATAGTGACCCTGTACAGGGTTTCTAAGGCTATAAATCTTTACAGGAGCAGAATGCCTCATCTTTCTCCCGCGGAACCGCTGGTAGTTTCGAACTGCTGACCTTCAGGTTAGCAGCTCGATTCGTAACCACTACGCATGCTACTGTAACACAAATCCCAAAGTGGGTGGCTTAACAAAAATAATAATAATTTCTCATTCTGGATACCAATAGTCGAAATTAGATTCTTCATTGTATCAATTTCTTCTTGTCTGTAGCTCCAATTTCTTGGTTCCTTTGTTTATAGATGAACTTTATGTGGTATCATGTGTGTGTACATGTCTTTCTGTCTAATCTGCTTATTGTAACTCAGAAGTGATTATATTGAACACATACTACTCATGTATGATCTAACAAGAGAACCTTATTTCCAAATAGGATTATATTCACAAGAATATGGGTTAGGATTCCAATAAGCACATGAGTATATCAGAAGTATCGCTATTTGGGTTCTAGTTCATATGTTGTTATTAAAGTGCCATTGAGTTGATTCCGACCCATAGTGACCCTGTATAGGGTTTCCAAGGAGCAGCTGATGAGCTTGAACAACCAACCTTGCAGTTCAAATGACTTTGCAGTCTGACGCATTAGCCCACAACATCACACCTGGACTCCTACATGGATTTATTCTAAACAACACATATTCAAACATGCATCAATAGTCTGTGGGTGGTTGCACTTGTCTTAGTTTCATCAGGAAGTCTTTTTAAAAAGGTCTGAGCAAAACAATAACTTCTGAAGGGATCTGTCTAGCCAGTTAAGTTCAGGCACAAAGGTCAACTCAGATGGTTAAGGTGACTTTTTTTTCCCTCTAAGAATTCCAAAGGGATAATCCAATTAAATTTTTTCCAAGGATACAGGATAATCACAGAGTCTTACAGGACGAAGTTTTGAGAAAACTGAAAACTGCACTGGAGAATAAAACAGCCAGGAAAGTTGCAATGAGGAAACTATCTCCCCATTACAAAAATGCACCCACTCATCCTTTGAGAGTATCGGAGCTGTCCTACATAAATTTCACTGGGAAACCTTGCCAAATCTATATAGCCCTAATCTCGTCCCTTCAGACTTCTTTTTGTTCCAAAAATTCAAAAACCATTTAAAAGGAACATAATTAGAGCCCGTTGAGGATGACAAAACTGCATTCTTATGTGGTATAAGTAGAATTGCACAGAATTTTTGGGGAAAGGGTTAGAGAGATGGAAACACTGCCTTTAAAAGTGTACAGACCTTGATGGAGGATATGCCAAGATACACAAGTGGACATTTGGATTTTTTTTTTTTTTTTTTACATGCATGGTTGGTGTTTTATTTTTCTAAAAATGCTTGTAAAACATCACACTAAGTCAGGTTAAAGGGTAAGGTTTAAAATAGACCATTTTATAAGGATAAATTATAACTGTGTAATGATTGTTCATTCTACAAAATCTTGATCTTAGAGTTTATGATACACCTAGTTGGCAGCAGCACCCAGGTTTTCCAGCAGCACCCAGGTTTTCCAATTTCGTCAGTCATTATTTTTCCATTGTCTGCATAGACTTCTTCTCATTAGCTGCTTTAAGGTTTTGTTGCATAATCTCAGAGTCGCTCTGTTTTCTCTGAGAAGTAGTCAAACTATGCTCTTTGCTTTTTCCCTGGCTAATCTCCTGAGTTTTCTTCATGTTTTTCTGGTGGGCAATTTTTCTTTGATTTCCACCTGCAAGGACCAAAAAAAAAAAAGAACTACGGAGGAAGCACAGTCCTAGCTCCCAGTCCTCAGGCTTTACGATTTTGGATACCATCTATAAACGGTCTCCAGACAAGGACCCCTCCTAGCGTTGCCCGCTCCACACCCCTCCTGGGGGTGTATTTGGTAGATACGTGTTACAGAACAAACCAACAACTGATGTGCAAGCAGCAGATTGGCCTTCCGGGCCAGACCCAAAAACTGGGTTGGGCAGGCAGCGATACCCAAGAAAGAAAAGAGTCCCTCCCCATCCGTTCAGTCAAAAGGGGATCAGCCTCCAGGCAGTACTATGCTCCCAGCATGACTGGACACAAAGCTCCCCCCACGCCCCGCTTCCCCCCCTTCCCCCACCCCTCGTCCCCAGTGCACACTCACAGGCCACGCCGACCACTGGACAGTGCCTGGAAGAGCCTTTTTGATATTTTTATTTATGAAAAATTTCCATGATTTTGTAACAGTAATTTTTTTTTTTTACTTAACCTTCTAAAACACAACTTAATCCATAACATTAGTTAAATGTGCTTCTGGGAAAAGTCTACTTCTTACTATTTGGACTGAGAAGAGAAAATGTGTGAAGAAAGCCGTGTGGAAGGATTATCTACTACTATCTATAGCCTTGGCTCCTGACAGCAACGCGGACTAGTGAGAAGGGACTTTTTTCCTAAAATGATTACAACACTCTTGATCTTTGACAACAAATCTTATATTGCTTTTTAAAGTAACTATACTCTGCCAGTATGGAGTCTGTGCCTTTTATTTCTACTTTATCTTGAATCTATATAGAAAGTTTTAAATTGAAACTGCTGAAAATTTAGAAGGCAAAAAATTTAATTCTAATAATCTAATAAAGATGAAGCTATAAATGCACCTTTTATGGGCTGCCAACCACTCACTGAGAATTAACTCCCTATCAGAGAAAAAGGAGGGAAAAGGCATGTACTATGATTCATTCCAAGAGGCCATAACTTTTTCTGGTTGTCTATGGCACTGTGGGTTAATGTGCCAGACTGCAAAGCTGTTTGAACTGCAGGATCGGTGGTTCAAGCTCACCAGCTTCTCCTCGGAAACCCTATACAGAGTCGCTATGGGTCGGAACTGACTCGATGACATTTTTCTTATTATTCTTCATAGCAAGTAGGACTTCTGAGGACGAAGGAACTCTGGCGTTAATTAATGATGCAGCACCCTAAGCCTTCTAAAAGTTACCTTAACTTTTGTTGCTTGCTTTACTTCATGATGAGTCAATGGAATAACAGAAGGCACCTGTGCCTCTGGGTTGGTGAAATTCTCTTGGCAACTCTGTGCCAAGGGATTGGTTTGAAAACAAGTATCTGTCTGGTGCCCTCTGTGGTATGTGACTATCTACAAAGCTAGTCAGAGCAAAGTGGAGGAAGGGCAAGTCTATCCTCTTGGGTGTCCTTTCAGTAATCCCCTTGTCACAGCCACCTCCACAGGCAGCTTGCCCTGATAGAAGAGATGTGATGGGCAGACTGTCAAGTAGATTGTGAGTGCATTAACTGGATTAGCAGTGAAGGCTAATATAGTAGCATTTCCAAAGTTCATTCATAGCATCTAAGACTGAGCTTCTCAGCTGCCAAATCGGGCAGGCAAGAGCTTCAGAGTTAATGTCACATCTGGAAATGGCTCTGAAGTGGCCATAGGCACAATAGTCCCATTGTTTTTGACGTGTGTTTATGTATTTTAATTCCATAACAGCTTGATATCGAATGTTAGTATTAAGATGTGAAGTGTTCTTTTCCATCTTATTGATAAACTAGCAGAAATGCATTTAACAGTTCCCTGAAATCAGTTGCTTTATCCTGGAGGTATAATAATACTGATTTTTTTTCTATTTGTTGAAAAATTGGAAAGTTTACTCAGGAAAGTATCAGAAAGAAATTTAAAGTACTCTATCCTTTTAACTTTTGTCCTGGTGTGATACTGTAGGTTAAGCACTGGACTATAAGGTTAGTTTGAACTAAAAGGTTGGCAGTTTAAGCTCACCAGCCACTCCTTGAAACTCTATACAGGGTCGCTCGATGCCACTTAATAACAGCAACAACATCCATTTAGCAGCCATACCTTTGATGCTATTTTAATATATTTCTATGTAGACTTTCTTCCATGCATTAGTATTAAGTAAAATTGTAATCATACTACATATATTTGGTTTTGTTTCCTTTTAAAAACTGAGCCTCAATTGAAACTAGTATGCTATCATATTGGTGGGCATATGTCAAAATGCACAGGAATATACAACATACAGTGAACACTAATGTAAATTATGGACTTTAGTCTGTAAGAATTTCTAACCAGTAGACCCATAGTTCAAATCCACCAGTCACTCCTTGGAAGAAAGATAAGACTTTCTGTTCCCTTAAAGATTTACAGCCTCTGAAACCCTAAGCAGGGTCACTATGAATTGATTCAAACTGACTCAATAACACAGAGTAACAATAACAACGTTGGGTCATTAAGTGTAATAAATGTGCCACTTTAATTCAACATGTTCTTCGAAGAAAGGTATAGTGATCTACTTCCTACAGTCAGAATCTATGGTCACAGTGGTTTATTGCACAACAGAAAAGGACAGCATTTCATTCCATTGTGCATGGAGTCACCATGAGTGTGGGGCCTAATGGATAGCAGCCAACAGCAAATAGAACACAAACTATTACTTACTAGGAGAAACAATGCACAGAACGGAGCTGAAAGTGAGAGCTCTGTCTCAGTGCACAATTTTTCAAATAAGACTAAAACTGCTCTAAAAAATAGTCCATGTAAAGTCAGAAAAAAATAATTCTGAATATTGTAACATAAATATTTCACCAATTTTTATATTTTTAATGGAATATATATTATTTGTTGGTGCTGTTCTAAGGTGCCATAAAGTTGGTACCGACTCATAGAGACCCTGTACACAACAGAACGAAACATTGCCCAGTCCTGGGCCAACCTCACAATCATTACTACATTTGAGCCCATCACCACCACCACTGTGCCAATCCATTCTGTTGAAGGTCGTCCTCTTTTTCTCCAAATCTTCACATTACAAAACATGATATCCTTCTCAAGGGACTGGTCCCTCCTGACAATATGTATGAAGTATGTGAGACAAAGTCTAGTCATTCTGGCTTCCAGGAGGCATTCTGGCTGTACTTATTCCAACACAGACTGATTGTTCTTTTGGTAGACCATAGTACTTTTAATATTCTCCTCCAACACCATGACTCAAATAGATCAATTCTTCTAGAGTCTTTCTTTCACATGTATATGACATTATTAAAAATACCATGACTTAGGTCACACACATCATAGTCCTCAAATTGACATCCTTGCACTTTAACACTTTAAAGAGGTCTTGAAGTCTTTGACAACTTCAATCTTTTCTCTATTGATATGGAGGTTGTTTATTGGTCCAGTGGTGAGGATTTTTGTTTTCTTTATGTTGAGGTACAACCCATACTGAAGGCTGAGTTCTTTGATCTTCTTCAGTAAGTATCTTAAGTCCTCTTTACTTCCAGCAAGCAAGGCTGTATCATCTGTATGTCTCAGGTTGTTAGTGAGACTTCCTCCAATCCTGATGCCATGTTTTTCTTCATATAATCCAGCCTCTCTGATTATTGGATCAGCATACAGATTGAATACCTATGGTGAAATAATACAATCCTGGCACACAACTTTCCTAATTTTAAACCATTCTGTGTTCCCTTGTTCTGTTTAAACAACTGCCTCTTGGTCTATGTACAAGTTCCTCATGAGCACAATTAAGTGTCCTGGAATACTAATTCTCTACAATGCTATCCATAGATTGTCATAATCCACACAACTTAAAGTGTTTGCATAGTCAATAAAGCACAAGAAAACATCTTTCTGGTATTTTCTGCTTTCAGCCAATATCTATCTGACATCAGCAGTGATATCCCTCATTCCATGTTCTCTCCTGAATCTGGCTTGAACCTCTGAGAATTCTCTGTGAATGTATGGTTTCAACCGTTTTGAATTATCTTTAGCAAAATTTTGATTGCATGAGATACTAATGATATTTTCTGATGATTTCTACATTCTCTTGGGTCACCTGTCTTTGGAATGGGCACAAATACGGATCTCTTCCAGGTAGTACACCAGGTAGCTATCTTCCAAATTTCTTGGCATAGATGAGTGAGTACCTCCAGTATTGCATCAGTTTGTTGAAAGATTTCTGTTTGTATTCCATAAATTCCTGGAACCTTGTTCTTTGCCATTGCCTTTAATGCATCTTGGACTTCTTCCTTTGGTATCATTGGCTCTTGATCATATGCTATCTCTTGAAACAGTTGAACATTGACCATTTCTTTTTGGTACAGTGACTCTCTATTCCTTCCATCTTCTTTTGATGCTTTCTGCATCATTCAATGTTTTGTCCATAGAATCCTTCAATATTCCAAGTCAAGGCATGGATGTTTTCTTCAGTGCTCTCAGCTTGAGGAATGCCAAGTGTGTTCTTCTCTTTTAGTCTTCTAATTCCAGGTTTTGCACATTTTGTATTAATGTTTGGCTTTGTCTTCTTGAGCTACTCTTTGATATTTTTCATTTAGTTCATTTACCTTCTCATTTTTTCCATTTGCTTTAGCATCTCTATGTTGGACAGCAACTTTCAGAGTCTCTCCTGACATTTATTTTGGTCCTTTTGTTCTTTCTTGTCTTCTTAATGATCTTTTGCTTACTTCCTGTTTGATGTTGTTGATGCCATCCCACAACTCTTCTGGTTTTTGGTCTTTAGTGTCTAATGTATTAAATCTGCTGTTCAGATGATCTCTAAATTCAAGTGGGATATGTTTGAAGCTATATTTTGGCTATTGTAGACTTATTTTAAATTTCTTCAGCTTCAGTCTTAACTTGCATATGAGCAATTCCACAGTCTGCCCTTGGCCACATTTTGACTGACGATATGGAGGTCTTTCGCCGACTCTTCCTACATATGTAATCAGTTTGTTTTCTGGGTATTGCATCTGGTGATGTCTATGTGTATAGTTAGCTTTAATGTTGTTGTTGTTTTTAAAGTATTTGCAATGA